GGGCTCGCTTGGCTCCGGGGGCTCTGCTGCCTTTCCCTTCAGGCTGCCGCCGAGAGGAGCACTTACGAGTTGCTTGTAGTCCCTGCTGCTTCTCTGCCCGCCGTCCCGTTGCTGCCTGTCCTCTTTTTCCCTCTGCCCGGGTTCTTCTCCCGCCTCCCGCCTGTCCATCCGTGCTTGTCCTCGTCTGTGACCCCGCCTCTCCATGCACAGCCATGTTCTGGTCTCTGTCCGGGTTGTGGCCCCCACCACACCACGGGTGCATGCACAGCTTTGGAGCATGGAGCTCTCTGCCCGCCCGCAGGCCTTAGTCTGGCTGCTTTCGATGTGGAAGACTCTCCCAAGTAGTGTTTGGATCCATGTGGCTCTTCTGACTCAACACCAGGTCTTTGGAGAGTTGGAGCAGAATACATGGCTTTCTCTCATTTTCAGCATCCTCTGTCCCGTAGAAGAGGTGGTTGGGATGGCATTTGTGCCGAGTGGGGTTGTCGGGAGGGTGTTTCAGTCGTTTTTGCTTTTCTGCAGTACAGTGCAGTGCCCTGGAGCTGCCCTCGGTTGTTGAGAGCTGCCTCGATGCACAGCTGGTGACCGGGGAAGTAGTTTGGAGCATAAGCGGAACACATGAAAATCAGCATTTGGAGTGTCGTTCTAAGCTTGCTGCATTAACTCTGTGCTGAGCAGGGTTGATTTGACACGGCAGAGAAAGTGGTGGATGGGGAGTTCTTTGGATTCAAGGTTGTGGGAGCACGTGAGGAACCCCCCTTCCTTTTCAGAGAAGCTTAGAATGTCAGCTTCAAATCATGAGGATTTAAAACATAAGAGTTTTTTTAAGTGTCAGATGAAATCTTTGTAGTTATAAAGCTGCAGGAAAAGTAAGCCATATTTAGAAAATATTATAAATATTTCTACTATTTAGAGAATATTAGAAAATATTGTTTTAAAAGAAGTAACCTAGTGGTGGGCTTGGCAGTGTTAGGTTTATGGTTGGACTTGGTGATCTTTAGGGTCTTTTCCAACGTAAACGATTCTATGATTTTAAAATGTGAATTTTCTGAAGTGATAGTACTGTCATTGGCTGGCACAGCATCAGCAGAGGTGTCAGAACGAACTTGATTTTAAGCAGGGACTCGTAAATTAGCGTATTGTATGTCCTGTACATCTTGACTTTGGCTGCCATGTGCATTCAGAAATCACTTACTATGGTGATTTCTCTGACTTCAGCTGTCTTGCACCAAGATAAAGTGTTACTTGGATGCAAGTCAGGCTTGCAGAGATTATGGAGTAGAGCATGTTTTCTTTTCAACAGATTTTATTGGGAGAGTGTTCAGTGAACTAAGTCACTTCATAACAAGAAGCCAGGATGACTGGGAAAAAATATCAATGATAATTATGTGTTATGCATGAATTGCACTGTTCGGAGTCTTCAGTGGTGTGTTTAGTTTAGTCTGTTGCTGAGATATGTAAATGCCTAGGAAAGGAGCTGCTTCACATGGAGAAAATGAAGTCTTTTTATAAGAATTTTTATCTAAGCAGACTGTTCAGATGCTTCCATCACACACTAGTTGTTGCCGAGAAGGAACCTGCGTGTTTGAACGTGAGGTGAGTGTGAAAGTGACTTCGTGATGACCTAGCGTAAGTTGCTACTGCTTCATCTCCATCATGGTTTCTGCAGTAATGCTGAAAACAGATTGTCCACACTAGGTCTGATTTTGGTGCTGGCTTCTGAGCCATTTTGAACCTGAAGGTAGAGCTTAATAACCTGTGATTTGTGTAAGGTCAGAGTATTTGCATATGGAAAGAAAGTCCATCAGACAGACTTACTGACTTTATTTCCTCTCCAGCCTCCGCGATGAGATGCCATTCTAATGAAGGCTGGGTAAAATGCTTGCTTGAATCATCTGGAGTTCATCTGCATCTACAGCTTAGGGTTGGTTTTCGGTGGAGAAAGTTGCGTATTTTTTGTACACTTTTTCTAGTAGTTTTTTTTGGTTTTAAGCCTATATATGTCTTTTCACCTCATTCAATTGAGCAAGCAGCAGAACAAAGAGGAGTTGGCTTTTGGTGAAGCTGCGTGCTGTGCTGGGCAGAGTGAGTACAGCTGAGCTGCCAGGGGCATCAGCATCAGGCAGATGTTGCCAGAGGGGATGTTCTGGCCCTGCTCTAATAGGCAGATCCCTTGCCTGTCCTGTTGCCTAAAAGCAGTGTGTCTTGGGCTAGAATAACCAGTTTGGGAGCTGATAGGCATCTGTAGCTTGAACTGTTAATTTCTGCTTTCAGGCTGAAAGATGAGGACCACCTTTGACATGGTAACATTATGCATCCTTTTGACTGGTGTGGTTCTCTTTACACTATTGGGTATGAGCCTATTAATCAAGTGTACACCGTGTGGAGAATGGTGCAAAGTTACACGTTCTTGCAGTGCAAGAAAAAAATATTTTCAATAATGGCTGTAGACCAACCTGCCTCTTGCTTGGTGTACACTGTTAGCATTCTATTTTTAGCTGTAAAATGAAGAAACTTGTTTTTGTGTTCTAGGAATGTTCGGAGCAGATTTATCCCTGTGGTTAGTATCCACAGTTTCTGTTGATTTCTGACCTGTGTACATTTCGTGTTTATAGGCAAGTGTAGCTAAAGGTACAATAGTAGACAGGCTGTTTTCTGGTGCTTTCATGAGAGTGTTGCCATTAATTCATAGGCTCATTAAATAACTAGGTGTGACTTTCATGCTGTGGAGGTACTGCAGGGTGCTGTACTTGGCTGCTGCATAAGGTAACTAACCTTCTCTGAAGAATTGCTACAGGCTACATAGCAAAAGGGCTGATTCAAAGACTGAAGTTTATATAGGGAACTTGAAGGGCAACTGAGATTTTAATACTTGAAAGAGCACTCAGTAGTTCTTTTGACATTTCGTGAATAACTGTGAGGATCTTTGAAGGCTGGAAAAAGGCATGCTCAGTACTCAGTTTTATTTCAAGATACCTAGAGGAAAGTTAGCATAGATTTATTTATTAAAACTGCATTTCACTAGACAGAATTCAACAAGAGGGAATCCTTTGGATATCAAAGGTAATATTTTTACCATGGCTAAACAAGTTGTCATTTAGCAACTGAGGGATATTGAATGACAGCTTAAACTGTTCTTCTTGTCAATTGTGAAATAAAAATGCAGAGGGGATTTAAGGTAGTGGAATTTTGGTAATTGCAGCTATTGGGGAGGCTGTAACAGGAGTTACTAAATGAATAGAAAGTCAACTACTTCAGACTATCTGTATTTTAGGTTCTTTGTGGATTCTTTTCAGATCAGTCTCTGTGAAGTAGCTTTAGTCCCTCTAGTTTTGCAGATCTCTTCAGCATACATCCCAGATGCTGAAGGGAGAGGAGTGGATGTCTATTTGACTGTGTTGAGGAAAAATTTATCAAAAGTTTTGATGGGTAAGAGCAAAGTCCTTTTCCAGAGCCAGGCTGGAAAGGTAATCTGCCCCTCAGAGCTGTACTTGGTCACCCAGTAATACTGTGTCCTCATGTGTGTCAGTAGTAGGGAGTGTTTGTGGGGTATTTCTTAAAAGATTTTCTTAGTTACTGTTAAATGGAAGTATACAATATAATTTCCAGTCACTCATTAATTGTTACGTTCACAAAGAATGGATCATGACATTTTTACTGATCTGAACTAGTGCAGGCTCCGATGGTACCTTACTAAGGAATGTGAACTAAGAATTGTGAGACTGTTTTGTTGTTGTCTGGGGACAAAACATCTTTGCCTGAGAGTCACCTTTCTCTCCTTCCCCCAGCCTAACTCTTTCGCTAGCATCTGAATTTCTGTGTAGGCAGATTAGTTAGTGATATGTGTCTTGGCTTGAGCACTTTCAGAACTTAAGACTTCTACA